AACGCTATTTTTTAAACTCCGCAGAGTCAAACTAGGTTTTTTTTATTTAGGGACGGAGGGTGTATTTGGTATACAAGGTTCATAGCCATGTTTATGTGCACTGTTTCTTCATTTTGCAGTTTCTTTTCAATTATATGATCTCAAGCAACAAGGCTACATTGAGAGACAAGAGGTGATTTTATTCTATTCCAAAAATAAGCTCTTGTATCTTTTACACCAAGAAGAGATTTGCTAAGGCCATCTTTAGTACCATTTTTTCTGTCAGAAAAATCTTTGTCATCTTATTCAATCACCACTAATGAACTCAAGAGTAAATAGGCCGTGTTTGGTTTTTGACTTATATGGATGAAATGGATCCTTACCAAACACTCTTCATTTTAGACAATTAAACAAATGCAACACCCTTGCCAAACTGGCCCTTAATTGCTCTATATATATAATTAGGAAGCTTCAAGCTTGTCCTTCAGGAAATGATTTGTCGATTACATTTGGCTTCTGATAGGTGAAACAAATGGTGGTTGCTACCCTTGCTGAATCTGGTATGAACCTTTCAGATGACGTAATCGAGAGTATCATAGACAAGGTGTTTCTCCACCCCTAGACACCTATGTTTCTTTCTTCACAGAAGAATAACAAAAAAGAGATTTCATAGGGTTTAAAAAACCTATATTTACCGGGATGAAAAATATTCCCTTTTTTATACTACTTTTCTTGTCCGCCCCCAAATATTTTTATCCCAATCACTGTATTTTATACTTGAGTTGTTCTTATGCAGACCTTTGAAGAAGCGGATACGAAACATGACGGGAAGATTGATAAGGAGGAATGGAGGAATCTTGTCTTACGCCACCCGTCGCTTCTGAAGAATATGACACTTCAATACCTCAAGTATGTCTGGCTATGAATTTACATTCTTACCCTTGTGACCTTGCATTGCATTTACTAAATTCGTCAGCGCTAAACCTTGTTCTCACTTCACACAGGGACATCACAACTACGTTTCCAAGCTTTGTCTTTCACTCTCGAGTTGAGGATACCTGATAGGGTTTTTATGTGACAGTCAAGTTTTCTTCTTTTCTGGGAATCCATGTTGGGCATAATTTGTATTGCTTTCCCGTTTTCTTTTGTTTCAATCTTTTATTATATGATTAGTTATTCTTTTTTTGTTGTTGTGGGGAATGTGATCATTAGCTAATGTAATTTGTTGACATTAAATCAAAACCAGTTTCTTCCATGTTGATGTTTGCACACTTTGCTGGCATTAAGTTGCTCTTATTTTCTACATATGTTAAGAATTAGCTACACAAGTTCTAAGATTGACACATATTTTGGGTAGACTTTTATGCCACAATATGTTTGGAATTAACGGTCTATAATTTCCTACACATGTTAAGAATTAAACGAATGTGGACATAATGCATGTATACGTTCATTTAACTTTTATTATATGCAGAAAGTGCCGGCACGGCCGGTTTTTGATCACTTTTTGAATGTAACTCTTTGTGAAACAACATGATCCCTTGTAGGCACGTTTTATGTGCAAAAGTGGTTGGCATTCTCCAAAACACAAACTAAACACAATGTGATACATCATTTTGAGCTTGTTTGGGCTGACTCGTTCCCGTTCAACTTCTTTTGAAAAAAACACCAATTTAGTGCTTTTTGAAAGTTTTGTTATTGAAAATACTGCTTTTGAACCTATTCCACATAATATATGAATATAAATTAATGGTTTACAATTCAACAAAAGGACACGTTGCATTTGAATAAGTGTTCTTATATGTTTTAAAAGTCAGCCCAAACAAACTCACAACACAACAAAAAGCCTGAGCTAGACTTCTAGAAGATCATTTGGACTAAAATGACATTACGTACGTAGTAGAGTATTAGATTAGGCTACATTACTTGAATAATTCCATATGTTAGGGGTAAAAATGGCAATTCAGGCAATGAATTGTACTGATCAGTCAAACAAAAACTTCTGAATTAGATAACTTCAAGTAATAGGAGTACATACATTCACCCCTATGCCAAAATCTTACTGCTGATTGCAGGCGACACGGTGCAAGTCTGATGAGTCGTCGTCGTCATCATCATCATCATCCTCATCCTCACAGTAATAATAAGCATCGTCGTCGTCATCATCGTCAGAATCATAAGCCTCATGATGCCTCACTCTCTCTTTACCCATCATTTCCTCCTCGATGTTGACATCGTAGAGTGTGGTTTCCTTGCACTCATCCAAGTTGAGGGTATCTGACGGGGGCCCGTCTGGGGGTAAAATGGTCTCTAGAGCACGGCATGCCTCAGGGGAGAGAACCCCCGGGTTGGGAAATTCCACTTCAAAGTTGATATACAAGCGGCCCTTCATGAATGGCCTTTCGTACTGCGGCATTCCTTCGTCATTTATTGCCTTGGATTGGTCTACATATGCACAATTATTTAGTTAATAGACGACAACTTTCATCTCTTCCATTTTGGTGCATGACGACGGATTTCATGGCATTTATGATCATTCCGAATCATTTAAACTGAAAGTAGGACCAAGAGTGGTGGGAAATCCATAGTCACGCAATAAAAGCGAAGAAAGTAGAAGGTGAGGACCGTTAGTGGGAATGACCTAATAGTCATGATATTGAAGGTATGAGATTATAGGTATTTACCGGGCTTAATAACCTCTCCGGGATCTGATTTGATTAGAAGCTGCCTGCCATCAAGATGAGTGAGGACAAACTGGAAACCACAAAGAGCTTCTGTTAAGCTGAGGCTGTGCTCCATATAGAGATCATCAAACTTCCTCGTGAACTTGGGATGTTCCTTCTGCTGTAGGATAATGACAATATCCCCAGGAGGGGAATCCGGCTGCAATTCCCATAGAAGAAATAAGATATCCCAAAAAAAACTAAATAAATTATTTTCATAGAATCAAATGGAGCGTATGTAGGGGAAACAAACTTAGGCCTTGTTTGGGAACGTCTTCAATTAGAAGTAGAGTTCTGGATCATTTTCAAATGGTGCAAATTAACTTTGAGAACGCTAAAGCTAAATGCTCCCATTAGTTAGCCTTTTCAAAAGGCTAAAAGCTAAATGCTAAAACTTGTTGCCAAACAGGCACTTTGGGGGTCAAGGAGATCCTAGTGCCTAAAAAATGAAAATGGCAAGAATTGCAAAACTTTGGTCACAAGATCATACAAATGAGCAAGTGAAACTTACAGCTTCATCGGCTTCCCCAGAAAACACAATCCTTTGACCGTTTTGCATGCCCTTGTCAACGTGAACTTCGAGCACTTTCTTTTCTTGGGTAACCTTTTTTCCTTTGCACCGCTTGCATTTATCTCTTTCGTTTATGACTTCCCCCGAGCCTCGACAAGTGGGGCAGACATGTTGCATCTGCTGCACCATGCCATATGCAATTTGTTGGCATGTAACCTTAATTCCACTCCCCCGACACCCGTTACATCTTCGAGATGCTCCACTCTTTGATCCTTTCCTGATAACATTCAGAACGCTTGTTGAGAATGAGGTTTTGGGGATAGGATATGGATAACCCAAAAAGTAAAATTTAGGGTTTTAGTTAGTGTATGCACAATACATATAAATAGAAAAAAAACAACGATATAAGGGCATTTATACCCTTTGCACTTGCGGCACAATATATTCCGAGAAAGAGAGAGTTTTTTTGTTGTGCCATTGTACAATTCTTCTAGAGAAACGTTAAGTGTCTGTATAACATCTTCCCCTTGTCCCTTCCTGCCCCTTGAGCCACTACTACCTTTTCAATTCAAAATTAATGTCATCAGGAACTGCATTTTCATATGCAATTTATAAAAAATAATTGCAGAAACTGCGTTGAAGAAAGACATATGACCACCTTCAAAATCAAAATTAATATCAAGAGAACTGTATTTTCTAATAAAACAAATAACAAATTAAAACAGAAACATTCAATTAACCTTCAGAGCAGATTATCACCTTTTAAATTCAAAATTAATGTCAACAGGAAATGTATTTTTCAATATAGTCCATTTGTCCAAGAATAAGGTTCTCGATTTTCTTTTTCATCTGTCCAAAAGTCATGTCCAATTTCATTTCAAGGAATACATGAATCACATTATTTCTCACTCTTGCACAAAGTTCAACTGCACAATTTTCAATTTCTTAATTCTTGTGACCGATCAAAGTGTGACATAATTATAGGACAGAGGGGGTAATACATAACAAAAAATATAGAAAGAAAAGAATTTAAAAATAAAAAATCACCTCCAAATGATCCGCCAAAGGGTGAACCAGGACTGAATGATCCACCACCAAAGAATGACTCTAAGATGTCAAAAGGACTATGTGAAGCACCACAGCCACCTCCCATTCCTTCTTTAAGGCCATCTTCACCATACTCATCATAAATTTCTCTCTTCTCTGGATCACTTAGAACTTCATAAGCTTGAGACAACTCCTTGAACTGACATTATATAGGGGTAAAAATTAACATGATGAGCAATGACCAATATTTCAAGTCCAAAATGTCATGCAGAGAAGGTCCCACCTTCTCAGGATCCCCTCCCTTATCGGGATGATTCTTCATAGCTGCTTTTCTGTATGCCTTCTTCAGTTCATCTTCACTGGCACTCTTTGAAACACCGAGAATGTCATAGTATTTCAAGTTACCGGAACTTCTACATGAACTCCTTCCAAACATTTGGGATCACCTTCACTCTTCAGCAAATGTGGTATTAGCTCCCTTGGAGGAAAAATAACAGACTAAATTATACTTAAAATGTGGACAAGCCAAGTGGATTTCAAATTTCGAACCTTTATAATAAGGGAAGAAAAGGTGAAGGGAAGAAATTTGTTCAAACTCAACAAATTTGTCTTTTATTTGTTTTAAATTTATTTTACTTATCTATTTCTATTGGTATATAAAGAGACTCAAAAAAGTTGGAATACAAACAGTGCCAACAAAGCAAAACAGATACAAACGAATATCCTTACTACACAACTACAAAAGCTGGAAAATTTGATTCCACATAAACAAAATAAATAAAGAACTTTAATTCTGATCATTTTTCCATGGGCTACACTTTCAAACACACTCTCTCTTTTTCTCTTCAAATGGGACGACTATGGAATTCCTACTCTCTACTAGTTGAAGAAGGCCCTCCTTCCCCAGCTTTGACGAAGAGCCAGATGGTACTATTCCTTCCTTGATGTCTTCAGAAATGCTAGCAACAGTTTCTTCAGCACAGTATAGATTGGTACCGATGATTCCAGTTGCTCCTCTTTTCAACCAACCACATACATATAGACCCTTCTCGACCTCTGCAAGATCACTAGAATCATGCAAGACTCGACCTCTAACGTTTGGTACTATCCCATTCTGGTGATCAAAAGGTAAGCCCTCAACACCTATTGATTTATAACCAATGCTTTTCAAAACTATCCCGCATCCCATGTCCTCAAACTGTCCCGTACCAACAGCAATCTGTTTCCCAGAGCCAACATCTTCTCTAACAGTCGTTCGCTCAAAGCGCACGCCAGCAACATGACCAGACCTAACATCTGATTCTAAAAACCTATCTGGCTTTCGAAAGAAAACAAACTGCAGTTCCCGTTGACCAGGAGTAGGGAATGAAGCTGTAGAAGTAGCTGCCTTAGAGAGCAACTCATGAACTCTCCTATTGATCCGATTATTTTTCAGCACTTCCTCATCAGCCGAGGTCGGGCACAGGTCTGCTTCATCAATGCGAATGTACAAACTCTTGACACCAAGAATTTCACGCAACTCCTTGGGAGTGAAAGATGCTTGCACTGGTCCACGTCTGCCAACAACATAAACTTTTCTTATAGAACTCTCTTTTAGGGCAGACAAGGCATGTGAAGCAATGTCAGTTTTTGCCAACTCAGATGCAGGTCGTAAAAGCATGCGAGCCATATCAAGAGATACATTTCCCTGACCAACAATAACAGCTGTGTCTGTGTTCTTCAAGTCTGGAGCCAAGAATCTACAGTCGGGGTGCCCATTATACCACCAGACAAATTCTCTGGAAGAATATATCCCTGACAAATCTTCTCCAGGAATGCCAAGATCTCGTTCACCTTCAGCACCATAGCAAAGCACCACCACATCATACAGATCACGAAGCTCAGACAAAGATACCAATGATCCAAGAGAGACATTCCCAAAGAAGGAACAGCGCCCGTCTTGAAGTATCCGAGAAAATTGGTTCATCGCATTCTTGGTTTCAGGATGATCTGGAGCAACACCATATCGAACTAACCCGAACGGTGTTGGTAACCGGTCAAGTATATCAACTTCAGCTCCTTTATGCGCTTTCAGAATTTTATCAGCCATGTAAAGTCCAGCCGGCCCACTACCAACGATACAAACTCGTAGTGAGCTTGAAGAAACAGTTGTAAGGCTACGAGAAAAGCCTCCCAGCATTTTCATGAAAGCCATTTCTAAGACAAGGGTTTGAAGATGATGAGATGAATGTGTAGTTGTGTACAGAAGGGCCAATTCACCTTCGGGTCAAAATGGAAATTCAATTCAGCCCTTGCTGGCTTAAAGGGGAAATATTGACAACATTATACTAAGAGGATATTACCAAGATGTCATCTTCTATACAGCAGAAGCGAATACAAGAAAATAATACTAATACATCAAACTTGTAACATGGGGGATTGGGATTTTCATTGAAAACTAATTTGCATATAACACACACACACACACACACACTAAGGTTCAATTCATAATGACACGAGAATAATTACATTCACAAATGGATCCTACAAGTTCTCAATGCTCTGAAATGTAAGACCAAAATTTTATAATTTCAAACAAAACAAAAAATACTCCGTAATAATTATACTTTTTACTTAGTTCATTAATCATTATTCTATAAGAAATCAAATATCAAACAAAAAAAATGTTTTGCCAATTGTGGTTGGTCAAAGAATAATTTCAAAGATCTAATTCCGAATCAACCAGATACTTGAGGAGATAAATTGCAGTTCAAATACTAAAAGATGAAAACAACAAACTCGAGAAAAAAATAAATAGTGCATAACAAATTAACAATGATTATGAAGAGCAACTCACCCTACTCACGGACTCAAAGTCGCGGAACTGCGGAGGTGACACCGACTTAACCACGGTCGCGGACGGAGGACGGCGGCGACTGGGCACCCGGACAGACGGGAAACCGGAGACCTGAAGCGGCGGAGTACGGGGAAAAGGCGGCCGCAAAGGAAGGCAGCTCCACTCTGATTTTTCTATTGGACGAACTCTCGGTTGTCTTTTAGCATGTGGGCCAAGTTTTAGTTTAAACCGGACACGATGGGCTAGTGACGCTCTAATGGTGCTATAGAATTTATGAGAGCTTTAAAGCCCACATCTAATGGGCATCGGTCAAGTTATTAGTTTTCTTTTAAGTTACAAGAAACATGCCCCTCTCGGCCCGTCCCATTTATATACCTAACTAGCCAAGTATGATGAGGTCATGTGTTATGAAGCTTGACCGTCGGTGTCATTGCGCCCGTCACGCCCCGTCACAGCGTGATCACGGAGACACTGCCAGCATGATGCATGGGGTAGGATGGCCACCACGGGCGATGCCGACATGTTTTCCGAGAAAGAAGCTGTTGCCAAACAACTTTGTAGCCAGTGATTGCCTTTTTTCGAAAAATAACTGTTAAGTCCAAAATAGTATTTAAATTCAGTAGAGATGAGTGGGTACTTTAACACCATAACTCCAGTACATATTCCATAGAAATTGCATTGAAGATACGGTAAACACTATCGGTCTATTTCTAATGAAAGTTCTACCCAATAGATCATGCATCGTGGGGCTGCAAACCATCGCTTATTGGAGATTATTTTCTGATACTCCATGTTATAACAACAATCAATTTAAACGTGTTTCCGAATGATTTGTCATTTCTTCAATTTTATTGTCAGCGACATGGATGGGCATTTTCCCTTTTTTCAATAATAGATAGATGATACGTGGGCAAATGGATTCTCTTCGTTGCAAAAATGCACACACAATATTCGGCAACTCACATACACCACGACAATCGGTTCTTGGGATGAGTATTTCAAGGTGTCAGACAAACTTTTCCGTGATAGTCTCTATCGTTTTTGTAAAGGTCTTTTCTTAACTCCGACGTATGTACATGATTATTAGTTTAATATATCATACTGAATGTACATACATGACATACTTTTATTTATAGTCATCGTCAATTTATGCAATCGTAGATATTTGCGAAAATCGACGTGGAGTGACATTCGACAGATATTTATCATCCATGAGAATGTGCACTGTTTTCTATGAGCGAGAGTCACATCAACGAGGTGATCACTCATGTCCAACGTTAATGCTCGAAACGCTCGCTACAGATGATCTTTAACTATGGCATGCGTACTTTGGCGTTGCAGGATCATGTAACGATGTCAATGTCCTTGATCAATCTCCGATATTTGGTGATGTTTATAACAACGCTACACCTCTGTCTTCCTTTATTTATAACGACTCTTTTTACAAATATAGATATTATGTTGCCGATAACATTTATCCTAAGCATGCTACATTTGTGAAATCATTTACATGCAGCACAACATAAATTTTCAAGACAAAGGAAATGTCATGTGCCAAAATTACAAGGACGTCGACGTTTCAGAAGTAGAGATTTCGAACGACAAGAGAAATGAGATTTGCGCCGAAATTTGAAGTAGGAAATACATAGAATGCTTAAAGGAGATTTGGTGAAGCATGTTTGGAAAATTCGAGTCGCCAACGAGTAATTGTATTTTTTTTATCTTTTTTACTATGTTAATTATTTTTTCTATGTATTGTACTTTTAGATTCTAAGTATAATTTTTTAATATTTTTATTTTATAATATTTGTAATAGTAATTTGAAAATGAAAAAAAGTCGTATACAAAAAAAAAGTAGGAAACAAAATAATTGTCAAGCTCGCGTCAAGTCCCCATCATAACGCATCCTCAATTGATGGGGGTTTGATGGGAGGGACATGTCACATCGCCTACATGTCGGTGGTCATTCCCTTCCTATCAAGTCCATGATAACACATGATCTAACAATGAGCCAATGAATGTCAAGTTTCCGTATATCTAAATTTGATTCGACTTAATTTGGATCCATATTTGCTTGAGTCAAATAGATATAGGTCAAATTTTAAATTTCGAAACCCATATCATTATAGTATTATTTGTAAAAAAATCTCTCCAAGATTTCAGAATTCATTCCAAACATGTCCCTAGTTTTTTAAAATGTGTTCCGGTTTTGCAATTTGCACCCACATCCGAATAAAAAATAACCAAGAGCGCATTTCGGTATCTTCTTCTTCAATTCTTGTTATCAACCACCTCACATACGCTCTGAACGACTAAACCCTGAAAAAATTTATCAGTTGAAGTGTTCATAGAGGTTGAAATGATGCTGCAAAGTGCAAGGAGAAGCAGATTCATCTTCAGCGCTTTGATATCAATCAGAAAGTCGAACGATTCGTTGCAGAACGCCGCCACGAAGAGTTTTTCTGGTTTGGGCACTCGCGAATTCTCTTCTCTGTCATCAGAAGCTTCTTCCTCGAATGGTTCTGCAAGGAGGGTACGAAACTTTCATCTAACTGTTTGTCTTTTAATCCACTGGGATGATTATGATTCATTGATTTTTTGTGTCCCAGACAAAACCTAATGATTCGAAGTTGTTTTTGATTGCTTAAGGAACATTAAGGAGTATCAATGTGTGTGTCAGTGTGTGAGAGGATGGCTGCTGTGGGTATTTCAGTGTATCTGAGTGTGTATTTGTCTATTAGGGCAAGTCAAAGATCCTGCAACTGAGTCAAACACAGGAATTTCGAGCATTGTTAGGGCTGATTCTAGTACTCCGTAGTTATTATCAATTCAGGGCCTGAAATCATGAATGTTAGGGTTGTCTATTGATTCCTCTTGTGAAATATGAAAACTAGAGCATGAGTTTAGGTTTTAGGACCTGAATGATTGAAACTCTACATCCACAAGACTTAATGTATCTTGAATATCGTTGTTTTCTTTAGAATTACTTTTATTAAATTCTTTATTTCATTTCATAAATTTTTGTGAAGGAAATTTTGTTTAAAATTAGCATAAAAATGATTAAGAATAAGACCCCGGTTCTTTTGAAACCTGTTTGGGGCATCATAAATTCATAATATGACATCGGTGATCTGTTGGGCCCGGACCAGGTCCTAACCCCCAAGACAAACCCCAAAGCCACCCTTCCTGCCTCCTACCTCAGCCCTCACACTTTCCCCACGGTAGCATTTTGGCAAAAATGCTAGGGGGACAGGGGGTTGGGTTTGGGGGTCGGATCTGGTCCTGGGCCCAACAGAGATCCGTAGGACGTCTAGGACCCCAAATGACTTGATTTCATAATACGACACCGATACTGGTGTCAAAAGAACCGGCCTCTAAAAATAAAGAAGAATTGAAATTCATGTTTCTTGTCTTAGCTTGATTGTTTCAACCATGTTGGTCCTAAATTAGTAGTTTTAATTTTCCTTTCGGGTTTAAATCACTAAAACTTCTTAGTTTTGTAGTAGTATTCTGCCTTAGCTTACTACATCAGCCACTCAGTTGTTGGAACTTTTGCCTTGGATTATGTATTTGTATTGTTACATACTCCCTCCGCCGCACTATATGCTTATCCCACTTCACCATTTTGGTCCATCCCAAAGTGTTTGTCCCTTACCATAAATGTCACATTTGTGTTGTTTGAAATCATCAACTTACCTATGCATTATGCAATATCAACCACGCAATTCCATTTTTCTTAAATTTGTATGCCACCTTCACTTGTCCCAAATTTAGTGGGATGAAGGGAGTATAATGTCATAGGCTTGCACATCTTTACTGTCTTCTGTTGGTTATCAACTCTATAACCCAATTTCTGATCTTTATGTTGGTATAAATATCAAGTTAAGTAATATGATTTACATGTAGGATTCTGTAAAATGGATTAGTTCAAGAATATCTTTTATTGTTGATTATTGATCATTCATTCTAATTTTTACAGGTCATGCCTGAAGGTGATGGTTAGTAGCCAATATTCATGTCTTCATGTTAATGCACATGGCGAGTTCTACATAATAGCTTCTTTTTTCAAAAGAATTATTTTGTTATTCCACTGGTAACAGTTTTCTCCACTGGAATGTGTTACTGTGAATGGTCAGATATGATGTGTTTCTCATCTTTGAGCATCACTTCAGAAATAGAGCATGGATTCAATTGACTTTGTTTTTAAGTATTTTCTTTTGATTGGTAGCATTTCCTGGTTGATGTTTTCAAAGAATTTGATTGTTTAATCAAAGTTTAGATGCATACAACATGATTATATTATTTATTACAAAAAAATATTACGCTATATGAGTATAATTCATCGACGGTGTCAAAATCAGACAGGTTTTTTATTTTGATGAAAACATGAAAATCTTGTTCCGAGAAGCTTAAAACCCAAAACACTACTACTTCCAAACATGTTTTTTTGTTTATTTCTTTTTCTTTCCCCATAAAAGTGAAATGCAATAACAGAAACATAAAATAAAAAAACATTGCCAAACGGCTCATTAGCTCTCATTAAAATTTATGCTCAATGCTAAGTGTGTTAATGTTCTGCAGGACTTCCTTTACTATCCAGAGGTTGTTCAAATATGAACCACATAGCACACTTTCGGGCACCATTTCAGGTCGCCAATGCCAAACATGCAAGCTTCAAAGCATCTTACTTTGCTAGAATGTTTGCTTCAAAGGCTTCTGAGTCATCATCTGGACAAAAGCAGTCAGAGGTACCACCTTTGTCTCTACTTGAATCAATTGTGTTATCATTTGATAACTTTCTGTTTACTGCGAATAATAATAGTAGAGGATGACTTATCTAGCTTTGAAAAGTCAAAACATAAAGATTCAAAGTGCCAATACTTAATATTAATATAGTTTGTTTATTTGTACTTCTTTAGGGTAAGGTCTGTGTAAAATCACCCCCCAGATCCTACTTTTTGTGGGACTCTCCTGGGTTTATTGTTGTTCTGTATGGTTGCATTTAGTTATGAATTTCCCCTCAACGTATTACGCTTCTATCAGGTCATCTTCTCTACTCGTTATAGAAACATCACCATTTACTTTAGAAGAGTATCTAGTACATTCAAGGTATCATGAAATCATAGGTAAATTCAAAGAACAGGACAGACGGATTAGAATTCTCCAAGTTTGGGAAATATCCAAATTTCATTCTCTTTTTATAAATCTGTAAACCATTTGTGTGGCATGTGTTAAATAATAGTCCC